GAGACGGAGACCACGGCTACGACAGGCTCCCGTGTCAGGAAGTTTCTGTGGGTCTGTGTGCGGTTGGTGGGTTTTGGTGGCCACCAGCTACTGTCAGCCGAAACCTACAGTCTTACGACCCAGGCTGCTGCTAAGCCACACGGCCCTCGCTTCCGCATATGCGATTGATACTTTGGAATGAAATACCGACTTACCATTGATCCGAGTCGCAGGATGTTCTGGGACCCTCGGTGTGAAAAGACTCACGCTTGCCTTTCTTCCAACATCGTCTCATTCACAAATACAGCACACAAATCCTAGACCGCTTAGGACCGCTAACTATATGACGGTCACAATGTTTTATCCCTTAATCCACACGACAACCCAGGAAGACTGGAAATGGAGGTTCAGAGAGGTCACGGCACTTCCCTGAAGTCATACAGCCAAGCGGCAAAGCTGCTATTCCAGGGCCATTCCATTCCACTTCAAAGCCTGAAAGGTCACGATGTAGTTTTCTGTTTCTATGCAAAAATGCCTCATGACTTGCCCAACATCCCAATATTATACAAAGTTGGCCTCTGTAGTTTCATAGAGCGCACACATTAAAACAAAGTTAGTAGGATATGGCTGAGGACTGAGCCCTGTAGCTTGCCTCCAGAGACATCGCTCAGGTCTATTTAGTTGTATTGTGTGGTCATGCTCGCTCTCTCTCTCTCTCTCTCTTTTTATTTTTATTTTTATTTTATTTTAGGTTTTTGCCATAGGCTGTGTGTATTTGCCAGAGAGAGATACAGACAGACAGAGGGAAAGTGGGAAATCACCTCCTGGGGGGATGGCCATAGTACAAACCCTTCTCCATTCTCCTCTCAGGATTTTGGACATGAACGTGTATGTGCCTGGTGTGAGTGGGAATCCAGCGCCTTAACCACTATGCCACCTGCTGGCCCAATGGCTCTTTAATTTTAAGCCACCCGATTGAATTCTCCCCTTATACCCATAGGAGACCAGTCGCTTCTCCTCTGCATACACATGAGACCCTGCCCGAGGCCCTGCTGCAGTTCACAAGCCACGAGTCCCTCACCTTTGTCATATTTTGTGTATTACCAAGGTGACTTGCATGCTTCAAGGCACTTAGGTCAGCTACAGGAAGAGACGGTAGGGGACGAATGAGTATGTCTCTTGAGTTCTTGGATCCAAGCAACTGGCATGGAGTCGGGGTGAGGTGGCAGCTCGCAGCTGGGCTGGGGTTCTGTGGGCACGTGTGCCTTGAAGACCCAGAGGTGATCCCGAGGACGGAGGTGTGTGCCCGCACCAGCAGCTCCTCGGGGCCTCCAGGCACCAAGCAGTCGACCCAGCCTTTCTGCCTCGTCTGGTTCTGTCACTCTCACGAGGGCACATCCCGAGAGCAGATGTGCCTGCAGCCACAGCTCAGGAATCATGTCCGTAACATCAGAGCGGGTGGGTGATTGGGAGGGCAGCCCATCCCCCGCCCTGGATTCCAAAGCACCCCTGCAACTGGCAGCAGGGAGCGTGCCTGCGTGTGGACTGGCAGGCTGTAGCTATGACACCCCCTCACAGGGAGGTGGCGAGGTGGGGAGCTAGAGGGCGGGGGGGGGAGGTTCAGCACCTGTTAGCTGGGCATGCTGTAGGCTGGTTACTCACCCTCTCTAAGCTTAAGTTGCCTGATCTTCATAAAGGAAATAAAGAAACAATTGGCAATTTCATGTTGATGTAAGTATTGTTCCAATACCCAAGCCCAGAAAGGCACCCTTAACCATGAAGAGCAAGGAGATCCTTCTAAGGAGTAAGCTCAGGGAGCCCAAGGGTGCTCTTTCTTCTCAATGGATCTCTCCATTTGTTCCTTTCTTTCCTTTCATTTTGTTTGCTGTGGGGCTTATGAGCTTCCTGAAGAGGGACAGAGAGGGGAGAAATGAGAAATCACCCCCTGGGGGAGAGATGGTCATGCCAAAGGCCCTTTCCCTCCATTCTCCTCTTGGGATTTTGGACATGCATGCACATGCACCCAGCATGTTTTCAAGCCACCGGGTCAGAACTTGAACTCGAAGCTGGCCATGTGGGATCCAGCTGCCTTAAGCTTCCACCACCTGCTGGCCTCTCTTTTGTTTCTCGATGCCTGTAATTCTGCCCGATCAATGTCTTTCTTCCAAATCCAGAATCTCTATCTTGTTGAATGCCTGGGGTTATTTAAATTAAACGAATTTTACCAAACAAGTAGAAGGGAGATGGGAAGAGAAGTGAGAAAATGAGCCCCCAAAGATTTTGGGGCCCCAAAGATTTTGAGCCCCCAAAGATGCATAGACACTGAAAAAAATGGGAGAAACTTTTGGCAATCAGTGCAAGAATAGGGGACGAGAACCTCTTAGGGAAATAAGAGAGGACTTCAAAAAGCTAACAGCAAAATGGGATTAAAGTTCACACTTATTTTGGTGCAAAAATTGTTCTGTTAATCTATGCATCGTTTCATAATACACATTTTGCTGAAACTTTCTGAAGACTCGCCCACAGGGACAGGGTCTGGCACTAGGTCCTGTTTTGCCTGTAGCTGGTATGTGTGTGCATGTGTGAGTGTGTGCACGTGTGTGTGCATGTGTGTGTGTGTGCATGTGTGTGTGCATGTGTGTGTGTGTGTGTGTGTGTGTGTGCGCACGCACATGTGTGGGAGGGGGGCGCTGGGCAAGGCTTGATAGGGTCCCAGTCTCTATAAAAGGAGCAGACCAGGCCTGGACCGCCCCGAAGCTCACTCTCACTTGCAGCCTTTGACTCTAGCTGGCGATGCTGCCTTTGAAGGAAGAGGCCCCCTGAAGTTGCATACGAGCAAGAATAACCAGTGCGATACTCTGAAGCAGCTGGAAGAAGGAGCCGATTTCCCCTCGGGATGCTCCACTTCCAGCTCATCTGTAGACAGGAGCTCAAGTCAGTAAGTGACGTTTTCTGTCATTGGGAGAGGACAGAGGAACCCTTGAGGACTGGAGCCGACAATTAACTTTGCTGTCTGGAACATCTGGTGTCTTCCTTTGGTGAGTTTGGGGACACGAGAGTAAACAGAGATGGCCTTTCAGCCAAGGCTGACAATGTGACATCTTATTTTTCTTTTCTTCTCAAGCCCTGAGGAACTGGAATGATGGGAGTCTGCTGCTATTGGGCTCCTAGGCCTGGGGAACTTTGTCAATGAGCTTTTCAAGTCTTTGGTCCTGAGCGGCTGCCTGGAAATGGTTCTCCTTGGTGATAATTGCTTTGGGCTCTTCCCAGGGAGCATGTAGAAGGCCTCTCTTCTGTTGGACACGAGCCCCTATGCCCAAAAGCTCGCTCAAAATAGCTGCACCAGGAACCCAGTGGGGATGCCGGTGTGCCTTCAGTCC